TCATGTTGTTGGTCAAGTTTGCAAGTATATGTCTAGGCCGGGTAAACAGCATTGGGAGGCAGTCAAATAGATTTTCAGATATTTGAAAGGTACTGCGGGACATGATATTGTGTTTGGAGATCAGCGGTTGAATCCTTTAGTTGTAGGATATGTGGATTCTGATTATGCTGGGGATTTGGATAATAGGAGATCTACCACTGGGTATGTCTTCACTTTTGGTGGAGAGCCTATTTGTTGGAGGTCGAATACTCAGCTTATAGTTTCTCTATCTACAACTAAAGTTGAGTATATTGCTTTTGCTGAAGCGGCAAAGGAGGCAGTGTGGCTTGCTGGATTGGTTAGAGAGTTGGGTATTCAGCAAGGTGGAGTTCTATTATATTGTGACAATCAGAGTGCTATTCATTTGGTTAAGATTCAAATATTTCATGCTAGGACGAAACATATTGATGTGAGGTTCCACAAGATTAAGGAATGAATTGCTTATGGTGATATTCAGTTGGAGAAAGTTCATACTAAAGAGAATGCTGCTGATATGTCGACTAAGATTGTTACTTCTGACAAATTCAAGCATTGCTTGGATTTGTTGAATGTTTCTGCATGCTAGAGTTGCATGGTACCCCCGGTCTGCTTGGTGTGTCTCGCAGAGGTTCTTGCTATTATGTTCTCCTAAGGAGGTGATATATCGCCAAGGTGGAGATTTGTTGGTATGACTTATTTAATGACAAATGAAGGAGGCAGACTGATGCCAGCGAGTGTAGCGAGGGAAGCGGAGCGACCGAGCGAAGCGAGCAGAGCGGAGCCTGTTGGCCGGGTCGATTAGTTGGGCCGGGGGTGCGGGGGCGGAGCCCCCGCGGTACAGTACGGGGTATTTAAGTAAATTTATACATTGTATGATTATAATATAAATACATGGTGTATTGATGTATTGAGATATATTTATAATAAAAGGATATCGCTCTGCCGCCGTGGATGTAGGCACATTGCCGAACCACATAAATATTGTGTTGTTTACTTTCTCGTTTTTAATTCGCATGCCATATTGTCAGTTTTTCACAACAATTATTCTCTTATAATTTTCAAGATTGATTATACTATATATTGTCTAAGGCAAATAACTAAAAACATAAAAATCTAACACAAAAAAACCAAACATATTTCTTAATTAATGTCAAATTCTTATAGTAATGTTTGTTTTGTTTTATTTTAGTATTATTATTTTTGGGTCAAATTTACATTATATTATATATAAATATATACCTTCTCATATTTCATTTTCAATTGTCAGCTCATGCTAAAGAAAAAGAACACATATGCCAATGTCCCCTTCACGAGAATGACAATTACCCAACTTCCATTGTTTTTTTTCCCTTCCAATTCATATGTTTGTCCTCTTCCTCTTCTTGAACTGTGTGCTTTGATTCTAGTCTCATCTATATATATATTTTTTCTTTTCAATAAATTAAATTTTCACCATTTTTTTTTTATAATTAACTTTATTAAATAAGGTGAACATTTAATTAGACGAAAAAAAACAAGAGATGTTGAAGCGGGACTGGATAGTGACTGTTGTCCATTGCTATCGGGAAACAAATTTTACCGCGGATTGTTTTGCGACATTAGCTCATTCCTGTCCGAATGGCTGCAAGAGACTTCTTGACCCACCGCTAGAAGTGAAACCGTGGTTAATGCACGACGTCGTTGGCGTCGTTCATCCACGAAACACCACTATCTAGAGGTTTTTAGGCTTTGGCCTCCGTTTTTTTGTATAAAAAAAAATAATCAAATCCTTGGGCAAAAATAATGAATATATTTATGATTTCGCAGTCACATTTTCTATATTTGAAATATGATTTGCTTTGCATAATTCAAAGCCTCCAAAATCAACCGTATGTGACATAGTACGAATTATATTACCACTTTGTACCCACCCCCCATGCAACCAAATTATATAAAATCCAAAAATAAAAAAATAAAATTAACTCATCACAAAACACGCTACGTACAACTCGGGTCACGGATCTACTTCATCACAACCCAAATTCACCCAATAAATTTTTTTTTAAAAAAAAATATTATAAAAAAACTCGCGTTGAATTTTTTAAAATTATTTGATTTAATTGAATTGTTGCTGATCGAGCCAGGGCCAGAACCCGGTCTGATCGTCCACGCCACAGAACATGTTGCATAGACTATCTTCCTTATTATTATTGTTATTATTATTGCTACTGTGCCCCTCCACTTTGGGGCATTGCATATCGGCCCTTGAAGAATCGTGAAATAGTTGTTGGGCCACGGCGCCGGGCCTAAGCGCCTGGG